GAACTTAAAAAGTCCCAGATTCCCTCCATTTTACGGTATGTGAATTGCACAATTTTTTTTTATTCGTCAAATTTCGATAATATTTCTATGCATGCGTATTATAAGAAAAACACATATTTAATACACATTTAAAAGGAACGTGCACCATTTTTATGGCATAATTATTAAGTTAAACTCACGATTTCCCATAAAATTAACTAAATAGCACTTAATTTGTTGGCATTTAGCATTTTTAACATTTAACTCTACGCGACGAGAGCGAGGCCGAAACGTGAGAACGATTTGTCATGACGTCACAAGTTCCCAAACAAATCCGAATGCGTTTTTTTTTAATTATTATTTTAAAGCTTCATCAAATTCTTAGCTTTAGATAGTAGAACAAATTTTAGTTTTATAAATCTATACTAATATAAATAAATCTACAATGGTTTTACGGATGTTCCTTTATAACTACTGGACCTTGCATCCGATTGACTTGAAACTTGGTATCCATGTAGAAAATACATATACTTAATGGATAGGCTAATATTTATATGAGTGTCGGACTCTTTACACCAGTTGCGGGGGCGTTAATGATGAGAATGTTTGGGGGGGAGTGAGAAATAATAATGTTAATTTTAAATGCCCAACGAAACGGGCGGGTGGGTACAACTAGTATTTTTATAAAAAAAAAAAAACAGAGTCAAGTCACGAACAGTTTTCAATCCGAAATAAACAGTGTACTCACTCGTATTGAGTCATTCCCGTATACAAAACATTTTGTTGGTACAAATTTTAGTACCTTACTAAGCGTATTGTGAATTCGCGCTAATAAGAACAAACATCAGGCATTATTCATTTAACTACTACTTTCGATAGTCATGAAGTGGCTGGTTGTATCAGGCCTTCAGCATCTTGCAGCTTGCAAATTTGTGTATAATACTCTAAACAGATTTGACGTGAAGCAGTGCACGGAAGATTAAAAATAGCGAGGATTCAATTACTTGTATTGATCAGGTCATTAATAAAAAACACACTGAATGAAAATAATCACAATACGCACTTATATACAAAACAATTTTTTTGTTTAAGGGATTTTATGACCTGGTAACTGAGACCTTTAAGTCATGTCTTATTTTAATGTATATTCATATTTTTATGAAAAATGATATGATGGAGTGAAATGAAATAAAAAGATGATTAATTTGAGACATTAATCGACTGGGATGAAATAAATGAGATGATATGAGATGAAATATAATCTCAGTAAAATGGTGGTCATTTACTAAGATTTTTAGTGGACTTTTTGGAGGATCCCGAGAAGTTGCGTCCAGCGGCTTTGTTTGATTTTCCCACATTTGTGCACTTTCACAAATATTAAACAGTTAATAAACCACCATTATTACACATTTAAACCCGAAAAAACACTAAATAGACAAAATAAAACAAATCACACAACTTCACTCCTCGCGTTCCCGCCAAAAAGTCCATACAAAACTAATTGACATTAATACCATAGATAATACACTTAATATTTAAGAAATAATACTGGCCGGTACAAACGTCAGGTGATATGTTGTAGGGGGTAATACGATTTGCATTTGGTCGTGTGTGAGTACTCCAACTTTAAGGGCTTGTTTTGTATAAATACGACTTTATTCTTTCGAGGAAGACGTTCATGTTAAATATTTCCTTAAAACATACAAAGATCCCGCATGCGGCAGCTGGATAGTGCGATCACTGGTATTCGCTGGTAGCCTAGGGGGCTATTAACCTGAGAGAATTTGCTAACACTAGCCCTTGCAAGAGCAGTGCTTCGCAGAGTCTACCACCGGATCGGAATCGCGACCCACTTAGAAGATCCGGCGCGAACATGAGTAAAAACTCGATACATGTACACCGACAGTACTTAAATCACATCAAATTTAAAACCAGAAACGTAAAATCTGAAAAATGAGTTTTTGGGGGAACTGGGAGAGATCTCAAGATTTGCTCCGACTCAGGCTTAGAAATAGAATCATTTAAAACACAAACAAAACAAAATTACCGTGGGAACATAATAATATTATGCTTAGTGTTGTCATATAGAGCGTTTAAAAGTAATAAGGAAAATTGCTACAAAGGAGTTTTTCTGTTTTACATCCTAAATGCAGAATTGAATTGCTTTGTACCAATTGCACATATATAATAAATATGTCTCTTTTTATATATATATTTTTATAGTATACAGAACTACTGCAGCAAAAGGTATAATTTAGAAGGTTTGTTAAAAAAAAACAAAGGGTTACCCTAGCATTAGCCTAATAGATCAATTTTCTCCAACCAGAAAGTCAAAATCAAACGAATATACTAGTTATTGTATTTGTTTATTATATGAGAAACCGCTATAGTTTGTAAAATATTTAGAGGCTCATTGTATTTAATATATCATATGTTGTCGAGGAAAGCCTTAAAGATATGTCTGCAATGTATTCATCTTCCACGTTTAATGAAGTTAGCTCGAAACTAATAGAAGCCAAAAATCGTGGTCTAGTTTTAAACGTGTAAACAGTAATTAGCATATGAAAAACGTAAGCTACAATGAACTCAATTAGCGAGGGTTTTACCCAACTTTCGTTCGGAGCGAACGCATATGGGCTGCACGGGCCATAGGCAGACTTATTTAAGACCACTAAACGGCAATCTTCGCACTGGTCCTGGAAATACGCAGCGTTTCTTTGTATGCGAACTGTCACATATCGTCTTTTCGCATTAAAAGTGTACAATTTCTATAAATATTCGAAATTTTTGTTAATATGTGGAATCATAGTATTTTTCTAATAAATACTAGCAAATAGTCAAAAGAGCGTAGCTTAGTTTTAATTTTTGTTTGTTTTGTTTACCTATGTTTTCACTACTATTAACAAAATTAATACATAATTTTATCTTACTTTAAAAGACAGATAATGTAGCTGCTAAAAAATAAAAATAAAACGTTGCAAAGATGATTACTATTAAAAATATCACATGTTAAAACACTCTCCTTTAAAATTAGTAAGTTTTGAGATTATACAGTTTTAATGCGAGAAGACGATATCTGTCATGGGTGCAACCTCTTTGGCAGGACATACGACCTACAATGACCAGACATAAACTAAGAGAGAGTCTTGAGAGGTACAATTGGAAAACAGAGGAAAATGGAACGAAGATGACCGTTCACTGGAGTGGTCATTTTTCAATCCGCTTCTAAACACCGGTAAGAGTAACGCCATCTATCGCCGAATAGCCGAACGAATATCGAAGGAGTAGTAGTAGCACTTTCTAGAATATCGAAGGAGTACTAGTAGCTAAAACTCACGACTGCCTAAATTAAATTGCTTTCGAAAATAGCAAGACTGTAAAAATTTAACAGACAAAAAAACTAACATTCAAACTAGCATGTATAGGAGTCCAGTGCGAACGCAATCTGTAACTCATTGATATGTAACGTGCGTCCGGAAACATACACATTGTTAAATGTTCTTTAGTAAAACTAATTAACTTTACGTAACTAGAACTAGTTTGTTGCATATTAAGATAGGTACTAAATAATTCAATCCTATGGCGAGGATTAATAAATTAGCTATTGATAAATATAGACCACGGCGACTCCTGTTTTCCGTTCTCGAGAATTAATACTTCCGGTTTAGCTGATCGACTTAATGTATTGTTTTTTGATTTAAGATCATTAGTAAACAGTCGTGTAAAGTCATGATTTCATTGTACCTAAATACAAATGTCTAAAATGATAGCTTAAATGAAATTAAATTAAATAATAATTAAATAGCTAATTTTAATTGCACCGTGTGTTCTATTCCATGAAAGCCCTCTTATATGGAAATTCATTTAATAAAAAAATCGAAGTTTCTGATTATATTTATCTGTTTGTAAAATGATTTTTTCGTGTTTGGTTTTTTATTATTATTTTCTTATTATAATCGTCATCATCTCAGCCTGTTCACTGCTGAATATATATATATAGGCTTCTCCAATTGATGTCCAGTGCGGCCGGGTTGTTATACATGGCCCGGCCGCACTGGACATTAATTGCGGGCGGGCATGTATGCGCGGATTTTTTCATTATTTCGCCCGAGAATTGGTACAATTAACTACAATTACGATCACTGTACTACACCTTAAAACTGGACGTCCAAATTATCTACACGGATGCGCGACAATCTTGACCTTCACATATATATTTATATATATTTTTACTGTAATTGTATTATTTCGGATATTTCGAATAGTCCACAGTTTTCGTGGTCATGGTCGACTAATTCGAGTCGCGAAAATCGAAAAAAGCTACACTTACTGTATTAATATCTTTATTCCTTAAATTTCAAGTAAGTTTTGAAGTAAATTTTCTTATATATAATTTTTAATTAACTTAAGTAATTTTTAAAGACTTCTGTGTCCCTCTCGTGCTTATGTAAGGTTAATCAATCGAAGTTGCTACCTTAAACAGATTAATATATTCTTAACTATTAATCGATTAGCTTACGGATCTCAATATTTTGTTTCACACCCGTAGAGTTACATGAAGATGTTTTGATTTCTTTTTATTTAATATTGATTCTGTACTAATGGGTTAATTGTGCAACAAACTAAACTAAAGAAAGCTGGTAAATCTAAAAATCTAGTGAAAGCTTATCTCTAGGTTAACTTTGATTTTTTAATAGTACCACTAGAAAAAAAGAAAACTCTAACTAATGAGACAATAATATATTCGTCTACATTTTATGTAAATGTATTGTGTTTATACTAATTAAAGAGCGATTCGCTAACATTGCTTTAAGTAATGACTTAGATTTTTTTACTTCACGTTTTTTATTGCTTTCAGTAATTAATTACTGAAAAAAATTTAATGGATTTAACCCCAAACCTAGAAATTTCATTAAATTTTCCAAGTTTTTCAAATTCTATTATAGATCAATGACATTCAAAATTATCCGATTGATCGGGAATTACAGATGCATTTAAAGTAAGATAAAATCAGAACTAACCTTATCGTCATCAGCAACTCGGACGACGATCTTCAAACGCGGATTCGATTTCCTGTACTCCTTCAGCAGGGTGTCGAGTTTATCTCCCCTCGCGTCCCCTGCGTACACCAGATGCGTGCACTCCGCGAATCCTTGAGGGCGCGCGCTCTCCGTATAACAAACCAGTCTGGCAGCCCCAGCACCAGCGCCGTCCGACCTCGACAACGCCGCGACGACCAGAAACAACCAAACCCACATCGTGTCAAAACCAGCCGGGCATTATCTTCGAGGAATAAATCAGAGTCGCCTTAGTCACAGGCGTCGTTCGTTAAGTTCGGGGGAGTGTATGGAGGCGCGTTGGTCGTGTCAGCGGCGCAGTACAAGTGGCGGTGGCGGTGGCTCGACGGCAGTCATAGCAGCCCCCGCCCTGGTCGGTGGTGGTACTCAAGGGCACGTTCACCGCTCCACGGCGCCGGTAGAAGCCTTGCTATAGTCGATCATGTTATGTTACGCCTCATAATAATCATGTGTAGCGAATAATAATTCATTACCTTCTAAAATGATTTACGTATTTATTAATAGAAAATAATGTTCAGTTTTTTTTTTATATTAAACTTAATTGCAGGGTTGCGTAATTTGAAATACATAGGTTCTAGCGCATATTTATTCTCATAGGTGAATATAACGAGAATATACAGTGTATTTAATGTATTTATGAATTTAAAAAAATGTTGATCATAATTTGCAAATTCCGTAAATCATAATATGATTACGACGGACTACGCATTTAGGGGGGCGCGACATACCGTTTGTCATGTGCCACACAAGAATAAAGAATTTACCTAAACTATAGGTCCCGCAGTAGTCGAAATTCGACTATAATTAATTGGATTTGTATGTTTGTACACTATTATGATTCTATTTTCAAAGACTATCATACTTCTATAATCACAAATTTCGCCAAGACTACACTATAGAAAAATATTAATAAAGACAAACAATATTTAATCTATTCTCAATTTGACAACAGACGTCAAGAACAAAAGTTTGACAATAAATACCTAGTATGCATGCGTGTGTGCGTCAAATACATGGTACGTAGTGTGTGTAATGTTTTCTTTATTGATTTAATCCTTGTATCCTTTATGCAATATTTAAAAAAAATATTAGCATTGTGCACTTCTTTCCTATATTCTCTATGAGTGTGGAAAATTTCATACTCCTCCGTCCGCGCAATTTTCGTAAAAAGGGATACAAAGTTTTTGCTTCACGTATTAATATATAGACAGGTACCTATGAAACATGAATACAATTTATGTATACGTATTTAAAATTTTCTCGATTAGTGTTATAAAATGGCAACTCTTATTATAATTTGGAGCTGATTAACGACAAAGGGCAGATCTTCCACCGAGCGGGTGATATTACTCGGTAGACCGACGGTCCGAATGTTGTTGTTCGGAACTTGCATATATGCGCTTTATCTTGAAAATGTCGTAAGCGAGATTCCGGCATCTGTCAATTATCTTGCGTTGTATGATGGCTACCCGCCACATCACTCCCCTCCGAGACCGGAGGTCGTGTCATTTTAGTTATCGTTGTCCGTGCTGAGATTAGCTTGCAAGTGCCAGAGCTGCTCGAAGTTTGCGGTGAGTCGAAACTGAGCTTGAAATGCTGCGTGATTGTCGCCAGTGCTGCTCGAAGTCTGTGGTGAGTCGAGACTGAGCTTGAATGCTGCGTGATGAGGCAGTGTAGGTGCGTGCCGTAGGACCAGGAAGCGCGGTGAGTCGGCTGCGATGGTCCTGTTGAGGCTGCGATGCTGGCTTGCTGTGAGACGACTGTCGATGACTTGCTTTTATCTGCGAGAAAGCGGGGATTGTGGTAGCCGAAGTTCTTGATGCGCTGATGATGAATCAGAAGGTTGCGATTGTTCCGTCGCAGGTCACCAGTTTGTATACGACGGAGAGAAGATCTTCCACCGAGCGGGTGATATTACTCGGTAGACCGACGGTCCGAATGTTGTTGTTCGGAACTTGTATATATGCGCTTTATCTTGAAAATGTCGTAAGCGAGATTCCGGCATCTGTCAATTATCTTGCGTTGTATGATGGCTACCCGCCACAATATCGCCCACGGACTGCGATTATACGTATGTACTTCAAAATCACCTAATTGCTTTCCAAGGTCTTCGCGGGTCGTAGACATAATTAAAATTACTTTTACGGCGTAGTCAGGAGAATATGAATCCGTACAGTTGTAACTATCATAATATAATAATTACCTCATAAAATGCGATTTAACTGCGTCGTCTCTTATATAATTGCTAAAAGATCAGTCGTCTGTCTCCACAAAACATTACTTTTTATTGCTTAGATGGGTAGACGAGTACACAGCTCACCTGCTGTTCAGTGGTTACCGGAGCTCCTAGATATCTACAACATAAATACCGCCACCCACCTTGAAATATGAATTTACTGGTGGTAGGACCTCTTGCGAGTCCGCGCGAGTAGGTACCACCACCCTACTTATTTCTGCCGTGAAGCAGTAATGCGTTTCGGTTTGAAGGGTGGGGCAGCCGTTGTAACTATACTTGAGACCTTCGAACTTATATCTCAAGGTGGGTGGCGCATTTACGTTGTAGATGTCTATGGGCTCCAGTAACCACTTAACACCAGGTGGGCTGTGAGCTCGTCCACCCACCTAAGCCATAAAAAAAAAATCCAAATAAAACGAACCTTTATATAATAAGATAAATATCGCGTACGAGTATGAAGCGAAATGTCGCTTAAACTAAATAGCGTTTCATCCCTTGATATGTATTTTTAATATAAAATACTAGCGATTCGCCCTCGCTTCGCTTCGGAAACATTAAAACACACATGAAACCAAAAAAAAAAAAAAAGTAGCCTATGTTCATCAGGGACAATGTCGGCTTCTAATGGAAAAAGAATTTTTCAAATCGGTCCAGTAGTTTCGGAGCCTATTCGAAACAAACAAACAAACAAATCTTTCCTCTTTATAATATTATATATAGTATAGATCTGAAATCAAATATAAAAGAATAGAAAAGTTTGTCCTCATAATATTCAATCGTCGAAAATGAATAACTTAATTTAGGTCTAGGTCCGTGACCACAGCAACAGTATTCGAAACGTCACGTCGTAAATAATAAAATGATGGTGAAAAATGCGAGATTAAGCCGTAATAGCACTTATAATAATTATGTCTACGACTTGTAAAAAACGAAGATAATATATACTAAGATAATATATATAATATATACTATATATTAATATATAATAAACAAAGATAATATATAATATTTTAAGGTGAGTGACGCATTTACGTTGTAGATGTCTATGGGCTCCAGTAACCACTTAACACCAGGTGGACTGTGAGCTCGTCCATTCACCTAAGCAATAAAAAAAAAAAAATACTAAACTCAATTAAATTTTATTTATTAAAGCCTCAGTCTCTAACTTTGACCCTGGAATATTGTACAACTCAATATCACACCCCAAATTATTGCAAGTAAAACTTTGGTTCGTATATAAAAACAATATATAGTACAGATGATTTGTAACGTTTAATTAAGAAAAATGAATAAATTTCATTGACGCCAGTTTAATTGTAAAATCCTTATAAGTCTCGAATATCCAATGTCCAATATACAATAAAATACATAGCAATAAAGAGACAATCGCACGAGAGCTTCGTCCTCGTAAATATAATTTTATGAACGCGGTGAACTTAAAGAGCTTTGACATTCGGTTCACTTTCGCCTTAATAATGTTTATTGACTGTTGCGAAATTTATTTAAAAAAGTACATGGAAATTTTACGGTCGTTTATTTATTTACTCCTTCCCGCTTGGTGATACGAAGAGCATTCAGGTTTCTTTGGCTTCTGAAGTGAGGACTCTTTGTTTTGTTGATTTAGAGGAGCAAAATAACCTTGAGACGATGATGTGGAAGATTCAATTGATTAACCCAATGAGTTTCTCGCAGGATCTTCTTAGTGGGTCGCCATTCCGATCCGGTGGGAGATTCTGTGAAGCACTGCTCTTGCTAGGACTAGTGTTAGCAAATTCTCTCAGTTTCAGTCTGTGAGCTCACGTCCGGGCGTAGCTGGAATAGCCTCTTAAACTACTCGCGAATAGGTAGGGAAATAAAAAAAAATTGTTGCGTCATCAAACGTATGACTCCCCGCAGAAATTGAGTAAGAAATGAATAGCAAGTGCTATGCAATATTCGTGCAAGCCAAATACCCAAATTCATAAATTACAATGAGAGTTCCTGGTTCTGTTTCAATGATAGCCACCCAGTAAGCACTTAAGACCAGTGTGCTTAGTGTGAGTTTTTTAACGTTCTCGATAGCGTAAAAGTTAGCTCATGTTTGTATTGAATGGGATCGTTTGCGTACGTGTCGACGTCGCCCAAAACACGTCATTACGGATCCTCCCGATCCATTAATGGTGCTTTTAGGTACCACAAGCACTGGTCACCGTCCTCGTCGAACCCGTCGCTTGCGACGAAGGGCTCGGCGAGCGAATTAACCCACAGACACAGCCCACTGAGTTTCTCGCCGGATCATCTCAGTGGGTCGCGATTCCGACCCGGCGTTAGCCATTAAAGAAAACAAGATTTTCACAGATCCCTGAATCTCGCTAACGACATTTTTCAGATAAGCTTGCATATAATATCCAACTTCCAAACAACAATATTTGGACCGTCTCGGTCTACCGAGCAATATCACCCGCTCGGTGGAAGATCTTCCCTTCATCGAGTAAGTTTAAGCAAAACATTTTAAAGCCGGATATTCCAAGCAAAAGTAGGTATATATAGAATCAGAACAATTTCCTTTAAGTTTGACGTCTTCTACGTCTGGTTCCTGACGCGTATTCAGAACTAACAATGAAGAGACAACACAAATTGATACGGTGATCGGTCACGGTGTGCGCAGATACTATTGTTTCGTTTTGCGTAACGTACTAACCTACTAACTGCACAGTAAGTTTTATGTAACTGGACGTAAGAGTTCCGGTATTTCCAATATTATAGTGATCACTGATTCTCACTTACACAAACACGCTTCTCATATTTGCAGATAATATTTAAAAAAAATCAGCTGTCATCACTTCTGAAGGCCGATAGAAGAAAAGTGGGAAAATGTGTATGTATTAATAAAATTTAATAACTTTATTCAAACTATAATATACCTTATTCGTATAAACACTCACTCCTCTCTTTCTCTCATACCGTCATTCACACACTCCATCCATGTCTTCTTCGGTCGACCTCTTCCCCCTCTACTACCATTTCCACTACCATTTCTATACATCTCTTATACCGGTCACTCACATTCGCACGAATACGCA